AAAACATGAAATAAAGGGTTATTCATACAGCAAAACGTAAAACATAAAATATTGTACAAGTTAAGTTCATAAACGTTTAATACATTCATATATTTAAATAGAGGTTTTGTATTTGAAAAATGATTTAAAAAATATATTATTCGCATTGCATGTTTCTGATGGCGGTAAAGACGTTGCATCTTACTTTTACCCGTACTTCCCCAGGCAATATTTGCATAGTTTATTTAGCTATGAATAAATGAGTAGTATAATTGTTTTAAATTATTTTTATTTAGATAATTTCTGGCCTTATAGAGGATACCAATACTTTTCGCAACTTTTGTTGATATATAATCAATATGAGCTTTCCATGTCATATTTTCGTCAAGATAAATACCTAGGAATTTTAAAACGGAATCTTTTTTTATTTCTACTTCGTCAATATAAAGTTTAGGTAAATCATAAGGCCAAAAACTTTTTTTTGTTGAGGAGTGGAAAAGGATCCACTTTGTTTTGTCAATATTTAAGGTTAATTTATTGCATTTAAACCAATTAGAAACTTGATTACCGTAGAACGGGGTGACTTTGTTAGGATTTTGAGCATTTTTGCAAAATAAATCTGGTTCATTACAATTTTTTCTGATTTTTTTTTTCCCGTTATAACATTATACCTTTCCTTTATATAATTCCATTAAATATTTTAAATTTTTTTTGTCTTAATATATATATTTTTAATCCAAAATGTTATCAATCTCACCCCGTCGTTTGGGGTGACTTTGATAGTCTATTATTTCTTAATGGCTTATTGATTTAACCCTCTTTACAGTGTCGCTAATACTTTCTTTTTGACTTTTACTAAATTAGAACACAACATATTAATAAACTTATAAGGTTTACTGGTAAAATTATAAATTTAGACAACAAGTTTGGTTATCGAATATATCTACAGAATGGACAAAGAAAAAACAAAAATAAATTTGATGTTAATATGCTAAACACAGAAAAATAAAATATCAATAACATTGTTATAGTAATTAGCAGTTAAAAATAACACTAACAAAAAAATAATACTAATTGCATATAAATATTAAGTACTGATTTACCCTGATTTATACTGATTTTTCTGCAAATGTGATTGAGAGTAACCAAAAACGAGTGGTATATTCCAGTGGTATTATAACTGGAAAATACCACTTGAACATCTAAGTATAGATTTCTAAAAAAAAAAAATTTCAAAAAAATTAAAATCACAAGATTTTTTGGCATTTTTTGGTACGTGTAAAAATCGTTATTTTTTTGTTATAGTCATGTTATTCCTAACACATTTGAACAATTTAGAATCACTTCACAATCATTAAAATTTCAAAAATATTAGCAGAATATAATTATGTACAAGAATAAAAAAAAAAATAGTTTCTAATTGTGCAATTTCACATTCAAATCATTATTTTTGTAACTAACAGACAAAATTATCAAAGTCACCCCGCGTATCAAAGTCACCCCGTTCTACGGTAAGTTCTTTATTCATATCTAAAAAAAAGTTTGTTAATGTCTTTGTTTGATAAAAATAAATTGGTATTGTCGGCAAACATGATGCTCATAAGATTCGAGGCCTTACTTAGATCGTTGACGTATACTAAAAAGAGAGGTGGGCCAAGGATAGAACCCTGTGGAACACCACATTTTTTTTCAATTAATGTTTTATTTTGAAGATCAATAGGAAGCAATTCTTCTCCGTGGTAGACGAATTGCTTTCTATTTGACAAGTAGCTTTTATACCATTTGATCATTTTACCAGTTATTCCGTAGAACTCAAGTTTTTTAAGTAAGATATCATGATTGACTGTATCAAAAGCCTTTGATTAATCGACAAAAACACCAAGAGTATATTGTGATTTAGCAAAAGAATTTGAGACTTCACGTGTAAACTGAATTATGGCTTGTTCAGTTGAACTATTTTTTTTTAAAGCCGAATTGATTTTTATATAGTAAATTATTTGAAACCAGGCAGCTGTATGTTTTTTCGAAGATGATTTTTTCTAATATTTTTGAAAACGTAGGAAGGATAGAAATAGGGCGATAATTATTTACGTTTAATTTTTCCCCTTCTTTATAAATCGGTAACTTTGGCAATTTTTAATAGATCAGGGAAAACCCCTTATTGTATAGATGTTTGGAAAACTTTAAATAGAATATTTTTCAAACTTTCATAGCAATCTATAATAATGTTCCCGTTTATTCCATCCGCACCGATTGCTTTGTTTTTTTAAAGATTTAAAGGCTCTTTCAAACTCTTAAATCGATAAGTCTAGGAATAAGTCCTGCGGAGAAAGCAAATTATTTGAAGTTGTCAAAAAATCATAAAAGGAAATATTTGTAGATGGAATCCTATCAGCCAGCCTACTTCCGATATCAATAAAGTATTTATTAAATTCTTTCGCTATTTCATTTGGTTCATATACACATATATTGTTTATCTTAATCATTTTCGGAAGGAAATTTGAACAGGTTTTCTGTTTCCCCGTTATTTCTTTCAATATTTTCCATTTTTGTTTTGAGTCTTTTTTATATTGAGTGATTAGATTAGAGTAATATTTTTTTTTTTAGGTTTTTACGAATTTTTTCAAATAGAGTTTTGTAGTTTTTATATATGCGTAAATTAGCATGAGATTTTGTTTTTAAATATTTTATATACAATTTTTGTTTAATTTTTGAAGATTTTTTAAGACCATTGGTAATCCAAGGGCTATTTAAGGTTTTTGGTTTTAAGGTTATTTCGGATATGGGAAAATTTGCATCGTAAACCGAGAAGAATGTATTAAAGAACTTATTATAGATTACATTTATGTCTTCATTAAAATTTATATGCTTCCAGTTTAACAATAATAATTGATATTTAAATTTTTATAAATTTTTTTTGTTGAAAATACGTTTTCTTATAGTTTGACTTTTATTAATGTTAGGAGTTGAAATTGTGTTAATTGCAGAGATGTAGTCAAGACAGTAAAAGCCAAAACCAAGACTAAGACCAAGACATTTAGGCTCAAGACCGAGACTAAGACCAAGACT